TGTAAGTTGGTGGAACCAGACCTTTTTCCAAGTACATTTGAGTCATTTCCTTTGGTCTGTTTATCAAGAAATTTACACAAAATGTAAAGAGCAACCGGCAGTTTTAAATGATATCTAATAGATAGAAATGATATAGGTAGATAGATAGGCATTTTCAAACTATGTCAAAACCTGAAAAACAGCAATATATGTGTGTGTGTGTGTGTATATATATATATATATATATATATATATATGCAGTTTTTTCAGGTTTTGACATAATTTGAAAATGCCTATCTATGTATCTATCTATCTATTTTTATCTATCTATCTATCTATCTATCTATTTATATATATATATATATATGTATGTGTATACACATGTATATATCTTATATGTATATTGTTTTCGCAATTCACGTTTTTTCACGTCATTAACATTTCAATTGTTGTTTCTTCTTTGCAGGTTCTGACAGATCAAAAAATTCAATGATAATATTTTTTCATGTCATGTAGTTTAAATTGCGACATGGGAGAGCCCTGGCAGCTCATTATTAAAATCAGTCATATTTCAGACTTCAAGGCCTTCCAGACTTTGATGTAACCGTTGGGGGAGGGGGTGCTGGACCTTCTCCCTGCCGCATGACACAGGGGAGCCTGCAAAAGCCGGTCTGCTAAAATCTTTATTGGGTTGCTTCCATAGATACTGACGCTATTGTACTGAATTGTGCAATTTCTTAACAGCATAACTCACCAGTTAGCTTCCATCAACACCACACAGACAACATTGACGTCTGTTTATCTTTTTAATATTCATATTTCATCGTTTTCAAATGGATCCTTCACACCCTGCAATATGGTATATTCATTAATTGCGACCCTAAAATATGAAATAGATAGTCCAACATGAACATTTGTTCAGTGTGGATATTGATGACTTACGAGCATCAAGACATAACAATAGTGACTAAAACAAGCAACTTACAGTGTCATTTTTTATTAATGGAAAGGATTTTCATCTGGAAGAGCACATAAGAAACTGATTCCAGCTCTTCAGTTCTCAGAAACAATAACCCTTCATATCTCACCAATTTGCATCTTATTGCATATTTATTTATGCTTTACGAGGCTCTGTGTGTGTATACGTCACCCTTTTGTGAATGTATATGAAGTGATTGTGTGTGCGTCCCTGTTCATGTCACAGGGGTTGTAGTATAGTGGTGCCACGAAGTGACAGGGGCAACCAGTGTGTCTGTGTCACCCCACCCTTGCAGGCTTGATTGGTGCTGTTGGTTACAAAGGAACTTACTCATAGGAAAAATGCAGTGGGTGTCCTGAGCCACCGCAGCCTATTAGAACAATAAAGAAAAAAGCTACTCAACAGCCCCGTCAGGTTCCACCACCTAAACTACACTCAGTTCTATCATGCAATAAAAGAAGAAGGGAAGGATGGTTCTTCATACCGAAGCATTTAAGGATCCTGTCATTCAACCAATATGAGTAGCCGTAAGAATAGGAGGTGTATTGTGTCTATAAAAGATGTGAAGCATTAGTGACTGGTGACATCTGTTTGGTATATGACCAGTATAACCTCACTAGGCCCCGTCTTTATTTAAATACTTGCTTTATGGAGTTTGCAAGTAATGGTGAACGGGGCGTTTGATATAGAAGCCTTTTCCTCCCATGCAGTCATCCTGCTGACATTTCCAGATTTGCCTAAAGAAGAAAAAGGATCTCTTGGCTCCTCGTACGGAAGAGAGGAACAACTGTAGTACGTCAGTTCCACACTCGTATGGTTTTATTTGCTATTTGATCAGCTGTGTGTCATGAAATAGCAATCAAGCACGGAGCTGCTGCTGAAATCATTTGCGGTTTTCAGATGTTGATTTACCATTACCAAGAATCACTCAATTCTGACCACACACCCTCGGGTGCGTCCTGGAGAAGCCCAGTGTTCCAGATTTGACGTGTCCCCAGGCTGATTTTCGGGCTGTTAGAAATCCCATTGGAGGGTGAATATTCTTGACAATCCTGCCTTTGTAGGAAGCAAGATAGTTCCAGAAGAAAGCTGAAAGAGCTGATATCAGTGTTATAGTATAGTGAGACATCACATCATGCTTTAATTTGCTATCTTGTCCCATTTTTATTGTATAATTCCCTTGAGCTCTAGGAATTTTACTCAGTTATTCAATTTAAAGCTTGTTACAAAATGACTAATATGAATTATTCGATAACTTTTATGAAACAAATATATATGTTATGTAGTACAGTGTGACCATGTCTGAGACCGCTCTTCATTTATGTAATATCTAGTCAAAACACACAAGTACAAGTTATTCATTTTCAGGAGATACACCTGCATGAGGGAGGGGAAAGTCTACAATAAAAAAGGAGTTTCCAAAACTGGAGTTCAAAAATGTATTAAACGTTATAGAGAAAATGGGACTCCCATGCAGCCATGCAAGACCTGCTAGACCACCTAAACGGTCACTATCAGATAAACAGTATTCAAAGCTTTCTTCTTTGAGAGAGAGGAGAAAATCAAGCTCCACTCTTGCTTCAAATTTCTGTCCATCCTTCCATTCTGAGAATACAGCTCAACGCTATGAGTCTGAAAGGATGTGTAGCTGTCAAGAAGCCAATAGACAAAAAAGAAGAAAAACAAAGAAGCTGCTATTGTTCTCAGAACTGACTGGACCACTCCAGAGTCCAGAACCCAACATCACTAAATGTGTCTGGAATTTCTTGGATTGTGAGATCAGAAAATGGAACCAACTTTTAAGACTGAACTTTGGAGGAGTGAAAAAATATCCCTGCAGATTTCTTGGAAAGACTGAAAGCAAGTCTCCCAAAATGAATGCAAGCTGTAATAAAGACAAAAAGTGGGCATATTAAAAACTAATAAAATGTATTAGATTAAGCCTCTGAATGTAGATTGTCTGTTTTCTCCTGATACTTAAAAATTGTTACTTTGTACCTAATGGCTGTTTTGCCTGGAAATGAAATAAATAGATGGGGGTCTCTTTAAACAGTACTGTACATATGCACCCTTTGGATTTAAGGGGTTAAGTGTGAGCCTTATCCAAGATTCAGAAGTCAGGATTCTCACTCTTAGCAGATATAGAATATAAACAAAGTTAAATGTTTTTTTTTTTTAGGGTGTGGTGGATGACTCAGGACTCAGGCTGATATTGTGCATTTGATAGAGGTTGAAGGAGGTTGTTGATATATGATCCATGGCACTAGCAGCTGTGTGTGGGACTGAGACCCATGGACAGGAAGTGAGTTGACCCTCCTCATGGGAGTTCGGCCCACCACAGCGTAACCCCCACAGCTCCCAGGCCGACTGAACTATTGTCCCAGTCCTCAGGGAGAAGTGGGCCTCAACAGATCATTGAGCTTAAAAGGAGATACTTACGCTTGCTGACGTAGGTCATTGCGACTCTGTGACAGATATTTACCGTGTTTTTTTCTCTCTGGCAAACATTGTGCCTCTTTCTGCCTGTTTGTCCTTATACTACTTGTACTACGTTTACTAAATACAATGATTAGTTATGAGATCCAGTTGGCCTGTTACAGTAGGCCTATAAAGCGTTTTTTTTTACCACACGTAAAGTTAGTTCACACCAACAATATTTTTTCTTTGAAGAGGTGAGCACTATCAGTATTGTACACCTACTAGTCCTTCCACTGTATTTTTTCTGAATGGTCTGCGTATGTTCTTGAGTAGGTCATAAAAGAACAGGCTGAAAAATAAAACATCACACATTGTGTGAACTATTCGTCCCGCAGAGCCGCCCCCTCACACCCACACTCCTACGCCCACATGGAGTGACATCGCTGTTTGGGCCCACGTGCTGCCGCCAGGCACATCTGCTGAAGTGGAATGCTGAAAGCCCTAATTAGGGAATTGCAGAAGCAGTGCCACGGAAGCCTCAGCACTCTAAGAGGGAAATACAGATTGTATATTTTAGTGGGTGTGTTGTGGTTTCAAAAGCCTTTGTTGTTGCAGTACTAAAAGTGGCCTGAAAATTGCAGTGATTCATGACTGGTTGATGATTGTTCTTCTGCACACACCTCAGTTGCTGTGTTGACAGTGGAGATTTGTGCAATTTTCTGTCAGTATTTCGATAAGAAATTATATACCAAAGGTTGGACATATAGCTGTTTCAGTCACTCTGTCCGTTTTATGAAGTCAACCATTTGAGTCATTTACAGTAGAGCCCACATTAAAAAAGAAACCAAATTATTTTCACTTTTTGGGGATAAAACTGTTTGATGTGGTAAGTAGACAATGTTAAACTACCCTTACTAAATGTATGGTTCAGTTCCGGTCCATACAAGCCATATATGTAAATTAAGCTATGAAAACTAAACTATATATTACAGCAGTTTATCTTCATGTATTCATGTTCAAGTTATAAGCAGTATTTCAGCCTGGACTGCTTTTTTAATGAGGCACAATACAGGCCAGCCAATCAGAACACAGCTCATTTTGTCCTTAAGGCACAGAATTAAAAACAGACCATTGAACTGTAAAGGATATGTGAACGTGGTACATAGAACCACACAAATGTTATGATTGAGGGGAAAAAGAAATGAAATATAACATAAAAATCACTTATGTTTATATATGGTGTCCCACTTTGCCTGTGTGTTCTCATAAAGGATTAGAATATCTACCTTCTGACACACTGACAGTAGTGTACAGTAGTGTTTTGTGTAGAGAATTGTGGGATATATATGTATATATATATATATATATATATATATATATATATATATATATATATATATATATATACATATATATGTGTGTGTGTGTGTGTGTGTGTGTGTGTGTGTATTCACAATTAGCTCTATCAATTTCAGAATGATAGACTTCAGTCTTTCGACTGTGTTACCCATATTTTCCCAAATATGTCCAGTGAAGGGTTTCACCCTGTCCCTTTAAGAGTAGGGCGGGGCCAACTTGCACACGTCACCAGTCCATATAAAGAGTTTCCGCTGTCCGGTTGATTTGTGGCTCACCCGCGCGTGTGGGTATTCGTGAGTTATTGGTTCTGAAGTGAAGAAGCGTCCAGAGTGAGGTCCTCTCAACGGTCTTCTCGATAAAACACGGACTTTTCAAAGGAAAACCAGAAAGAAGAGACCATCACCTGTAAGTGACAGAGTTGTTTAGCACATATGTAGCCAGACTAGGAGATGAAAATGTCGACATTTTAAGCGAAAGTGAGCTGTAGGTTGATTGTAACTTCGTGACGTGTCGTGTGAAGCACATAACAGAAGGTCTGGAGTTTGGAGATGTGTTTATAGAGAGTCCTGTAGGTCTCTGATATACACATATGCGGACTGGTAGATAGATATGCGAGCATTGAGTTCTATAGGAATATCTAGTCAGATTTGTAGACTAAAGAATAGACTGACTATGTATCTAAAGTCCTAAACGTCTCTAATAACAGAGACCTACATGTCTTTAATAAACAGATGAGCATACTGGACTCTAGTTATGTATGTACCTGTAAGGTTGGTTTCTCAGACAGGGATTAAGCCTAGTGTTGTAGTCATTTTTCATTCAGTGGATAATCTCCAGTCAGAATGCTGTGTAGTCCAGGACTAGGCTTAATATCTGTCTTTCTGGGAAACTGACCCATATAAATAAAACATCACACATAGGCTTATGTGGCTAATATACATAATAATAATATGTAATATATATAAAATGTAATATGCTAAAATAATAGAATATGTATGTATGTATATATATATATATATATATATATATATATATATATATATATATATATATATACATACATATATATATATATATATATTCTATCTGAGAGAGAGAGAGAGAGGGAGATAAGGGATATGGTTTTCTAATAAATGGGACTTATAGTGTCTAATATATATATCTAATATAACAATAACAATAAAAATATAATCTAATACAAAAAAGGTGTTGATGGAACAATAAGCCATAATAAGCCACATATATATAATATAAATATATGTACATCACCGCTGCCAGGACAAACCCTTGCATCTTCATTTCATTTTTTACACATGATATGAAAATACCAGCTGCTCTATACATTGTGTGAAGACAAATGTCTGTACTTTAGTGTGTAAGTTGATTGGAATACATTATATTTACATTAACTTACATTTAAAGTAAAGGATACTTGTTTCTTCTCTTGTTAAGTTTTCATTTTGGAGATATTTGGCCCGACAGTGACAAAATACACTCCTGTATATCTCTAATAACAGAGAGCTACTGTTATTATGCAGTCATGTATAGTGAAATGTATACGTGTATGTATAGTCTTGTATGCCCCTACAGATATGTTAACTGACCAATAAGCTATGTGTACATATAAAGTCTCCAGTTATAGAGGCCTATAAGTTTCTGATATACAGATGTATACTAGACTTTAGGTATGTGAAGTGTTTTATATGACTTTAATACAGATGTGAGGATTTGAGTAGCCCACATATGAGATGAATAGCACCTGAGTCATTGCTTGGCCTTCAGAGCTCTCTGCTGTGGGTGTGTGAGCAGAATGTTGCAACAGAGTTTAGACAGGACAGAAACCTGTTGAAATTGTCCGCTGTACTGTAGCGTGTATAATGTGACTTTAGCCAATAACTTTCTTTTTGTAGTCAAACTAGTTGTTGTTGATAGTAGTACGATGATGCTGTCATTCCTGGAAAATATTGAGGCAAGTCCTGAAACCATGGTGGAACAGTGTGTGACGCTGGTTGACAGAAATAGCACTGAGTTTAACATTTACTCCGTCGGGCCTTTTTCGGCATGTCCCAGTGGCACGAACAAAATGAACACTTGCTGTGTTTGTGTAAGTCCACTTGGACACAAATGAACCGAACTGGTCGTTCATCTATCCTGTTCATTCAAAACTGGGGATGAAAATTTAAAACGGAGCTGTACATAACAACCTTTGACAGAGCAACATTTTCAAAGTGCGTTCGGGTAAAATAGGAAAGTTATGAATGACGTAGGTAAGGTACAGTGCAAAATCAGAGACCATCCATCATTCATTTAATTTTTAGTCAAAACAGGCGTTAAGTACAAGTTATTAATTTTTCAGTGCCAGGTAAAAAGCAGAATATATATATAGGCTGTTTAACAGAAAATTACACAGAATCCTCAACAACAAAATATAACACCACATTTTTCAGTATTTAGTGTGTCCACTCCTTGCCATTTATCACAGCTTCCATTCTTTTCAGTATCTTGCTGACTAAGAAATCCTGCTTTGTGAAATACCCACTTAAAGCGCTTGAAGCAAGAGATTTTCTCCTGTCCCTCAAAGATGAAAGCTTTAAGTAAAGTTTATCAGATGGTGACAGTTTTGGTGGGCTACCAGGTGTAGTATGGTTTTGGAAACTCCTGGTTGTCCCAGTTTTGGAAACTCTTGATTTCCCCTTCTTTATGCAAGTGGGTTACCTTATATTTAATTTCTGCACAAGTATCTCCTGAAAAAATGTCTGACTTATTCACAGAGTTGTAAATGTGTAATAATTATTTCCAAGCCTGTAAGTCAAACTTGTATAACCCAGTAAAATGAGTCTACATTGGGAGTTGATTTTGATTATTTAAATAGCGGGTCGACTAGACGTTTTAGAATCATTGTATCAAGGAGTAAAGTGATTGTGTAGAAGATATAGATTCACTGAGGTATAAGAGGCACATTTTGTAATAATGGCCTAGTTTGTATGAAAAGTCTTCAGAGGGAGTGGGTGTTATTGCAATCACAGTCTTGCGCTGCAATCTTCTTATGCCACTTTTACAGATTGAACCACAGTGAACCATAGTTGACACGTGTATTCTAAACAACCACTATAAAATGTGAAATGACACTCATAATGACACCATTGGGTTTGTTAGTACCTTTTAGTGCCTGTTTTAATTCTGCCTTATGAATCTTAATCCAGTATGGTGGAAGTAATCATACAATTTCAGAGAATCATTCACGTTTTTAGTGTGGTACAGCTTTTGCTGTATTTTGCTGTCAGGCACGTACCATGTACCAGGGTGTGCTCTTATGTTTACGTAGGATAATCTTCATTCCGTGTTGAAATACTATATGGACGTGTGCCACAGAGCACAGAAACACAGACGTGCGTGTACACACGTTGTATTGATATTGCACTAAAAGCCTTCATGTGGGAGAATGGATTGTTGTGAAATGTTCTGATGGATGCCCGTGCTGTGTCATAGTGTTGAGTCAAGCTGGTTTAAGCACCAGTGTTTGTTTTTAGTGTGGGATGACCGTGATAATGGACACTTCCCTCCAGGTGCTCCGCCTGTGTTTCTGCCACTACACTCACTCATACCTCTCTGTCCTGTCTGTTGTGGTAGAAGCCTGACTTCATGCATGAGTCCTTCCTGTTGAAAATACACAGGCATTTTCCCCATCACAAAAGCACAAAGAACTATTCATGCTGTAAAGTGGCTCCATTCATGTACATGGGGGTTATTTAGTGGGAGAATTAATGATTGTAAGCTTCAGCCTTTCCCAGTTCTAACTGAAGCAAAGCAGAGGCCGAGCATGTGATAAGTTGCATAATGCGCTCTACCTTGGTATTTCATTGATTTCATTCTGCATTTCACTCGAATGCCAGTCCCGCTTCTCCTGAATGGGTTTGTTTTTTAACGCGGATTGTCATGAATGCCTAGTGACTGAGGTGTTTTGGTGTTCATATGGGTACAAATCAAAATAGAGAACAGAAAACAGCATGTTTGACTTGTTTGTAGATCAGATTTTTTTGCAAGAGAGAAGATTTCTCTTTAAAAGCATGAGATGGGCCTAGTTTGCTTGCGGGCTAAATGTAGGGAAAAAAAGCCAGGACAAAAGTCACACTCATTTTTTATTTTTTTTTTGTATGATATTGCCTTTAGTATAAAGACTTATCTTGCACTAAACTTTTTAGAGGCCTCAAATTTAGCACAAGATTTAGGCTACAAGGTTTATATTTTTAATATCAGCATAGTTAAATCTGGAAGATATAGTCATTCTGAGTGGTTTGATATGAAACACTCCATTCTAAGAAACTTTCCACGTCCGAATTGTTCCCAGTGGTCATGATAGAAACCAGACGTCCGAAGCATTTACTGCTTCTAAAAGTTCCCTCACAGAAAATTATTACACAAAATGGTTACAGATATGCTGTCTAATGCCTGAGACATGATATTTTGAGATAAGCTTTTGGCTTAAAACATGTTTTTTTTAAAATCCATTCATGGTGGGGAGGTACATGCAGGATATTGTTAGGCCTTTAGTCCCCAAAGAAAACATTTTTCAGCTTCAACTGTTAGCAACATTACAAATACAAACTCAGAAGATGCATGTAGGTTCACTGGTTGTCATGGATTGGAAATAAAATGGCTATATTGCATTGGAGACATTGTGACTCCTGGTTCTTATCACCACCCACTGTAAAGAAATACGAGCTGGTAAGCTTTTCCCAATTGTCTCCCCATTTTGTGTCCAGTTCCACCCACTAGCTAGATATCCCCCCAGTCATACGATAAGACCAGCGATATTAGGATAAAGATGATATACTGTCGCTATTGCAACATCATTGAACAGCTCCACACGCTTGGAGGAGAGCATTAACTGCCATTTCTGTTACGTAAGTTAACAGATGCTTGTGCTGGCTAGCATCGTGCTAAGTGATGGGAGAGTGGGAGGACCATCCTGCCCACCCATAGAGCGCGAAGCCAATTTAGCTGTTACTGTTTAAATTCAGTTTTATAAGTATGCTACTAATGGCAGTGCTTCTTGCTTAGTCAGCAGTCCCTTACGTTAAGTATATATACCCACTTTGAGCATCTCACACCCTTTTGTGGTTTAAGCCACACCCATTTTCCATTTGTAATTATTAAGATGGTATTGAAACAAGCACTGTACTTGTCAGTATAAAAAATCAGCATTTTGGCTTTCTGGGTTCACATTTAGTATCATCACAAATGAGCACTCAGCTTTGTTCATTTTGAGGCTTGATCTGTAAGACTGGGAGAATTTGTGATTGTAGCCTGGAGCACTCATTAAAGAGCTTTCCCCGTGGGCCTGTTAAAAAGGGGCCTGTGGCAGGATATTACTCTTTAATATAACAAAAAGGTCTGACTAGTGGTGCTGTTAAGGAGGGAGGGGAAGAGTTCTAAGACCACCCTAGTGCTGACCCCAGGGTTGAGCAATTAGTATACTTCAAACAAGCTTCCCTCAGTTTGATGTACAAGAAAAGGAGTTACAAATGACAGCCATAGCACCAAAGGCATACACTGTGAAGGTTTTCTAAAGTATAACCTTCAGTTAATTAAAAAGAAAAATATAAGTTTTAATCATTTTCCCATTTTCTTACTGCAGGCTTTGAGAGTCGAGAGCTGAAGCTAGTCTGTTTTTCTGAATGGAATTTAAGGCCTGCTGGATTATGGATTGTACAAGTCTGAAAGCAACAAAGATCAAGACACTCTGAAGTATCTTCAGTCGTTTGTAAAGCATGGCTTCGGCCAGACCCTACTGGGACCAGCACCATGCTATGAACAGGTGAGTGTCAACATACGCAATTCAAACCAATTAATGCTTTTGTCATGTGTTTCTCCTTTTTCTACAACATGAACCACAGAGTCATGGGCAGGAACTGAAGGTAAAAAGACTTAAATGTATCTGATCAGGAACTTCACTAAGTTCTCTGTAGGCATTAGTCTATTAGATTCACAACCTGATTGTTTATTCTGTTTTTATTTTTATTTTTCAGTTTAGCTGAGCAATTAAAGACACTTAATTGTTGCAGTTATACAAAATTTGAAAAAGTCATGGTCAGAACATACAATACATTTAAAGTGGGCAACAGTATCACACTGTGATACTTCAAGACATTTTAACAAAAAATTATGCATACAACGATTTTTATTCAGGCTTTCAGGTACTGCTCTGCACTAAATATAATTAAACATTGGGTAATGTTCTCTTTGTGAAACATGCAGTTGTTTAGGGTGTGGGTCCTACATTTTACTTGTGTTTTTTTTTTTGACCTTGAGGTCCACTTATAACATTTCTGTCATTTTATGTACAACAATTGGTCATAATTCATTTTTGCGTTACCATTTTCCAACCTCTGTTTACTTCAAAGAACTAAACAGGCTGTTTTTGTTACTGTTCCTAAGACTGATATATAATTATATGAATAGTCTATGTTAGGACTGGCAGCCCTGCATTGTGCCTCATTCAAAAAACACTCCTTAGAACTTCAATTTGAATGGGCATGGCTTAACTGCTGTAGGCTGAATTTGTGGATGTATGTAAATGAGTGTAAAACTGGCTGTTTTAAAGCACAGCTTCCCTATATGGACTGTATAGACTGGGTAGGGAATGGTACATTTTGAAACGTTTGAGTGTTTACATATTACTTCAAACCCCTTTATTTTTTTTCTATGATATGAGCCCTTAAAAGTACTGATAATATCAACAATCTGCTCGGAAAAGCATGACATAATGTGATGTCTTTTATGACAGTAACAATTAATATTGTCATATTGCCCTCCCCTATATGCAGTAGTTGTTGATTATGCATTATTGGTTGGATCAGATGCTACAAGAGTATATTTAGTCATCATACAGCTTTAGAAGTTGAATATTAATGTAACGGTATACAGGTTGTTAAACTTTGCTTCAGTTACGTTTGAATTTATATGATTTTTTTACTGTATTATGTAGAGTACTGCATAAAAATATATCAAAAAGTATACTGTGATATAGATGAAACTGCTTAAAAACAGTAATGATTAATGTCTGATTTTCATGTAGTAGTATGTAGTTGGCAGTTTGTAACACTTCGTGCCTTTTACCTTTTAAAAAGTCTGCTCTTCGCTTATTCAACCATTAATCCATGTCAATCATGTAAATAAAATGTTCACAAGAAGCATCATCCACCTTTTGAAACAGATGCAATTAAAGACCATTGTAATCTTCAGTTACACATCCGAACACTCATGGCCTTATTGTTGCACTATTGTGATTTATTTGCATACTTTTGTTGGGTGGAAGATACACTGCCTTGGCTATCCTGTACCGCAAGATTCAAGCCATCTTCCATTTGTGTTCCACAGCATGTACTTTTGTTTCGATGCTGACTCCATAGAGCACAACCTGAAAACACATCAGCAAGGCTCAACCTCTGCGGGCTTTGACAGTAAGTGAATGACGTTGAAATCTACCAGCACAGTCAGGCTTTACTGGTGGGAGGGAGGGAGCCTATCACAGTTTGGTCACTGTGTGTTCTGCCTGTGAGGCGAATGTTTCTCAGGAAGTTCAGAAGGTTATAGGAAGCCAGAGGATTATCACCTTCTGGGCTGATAAGTGATTCTTGTAGTAGGCTTTTTACTGTGGCTTAATCTGCTTGTTATACAGTTGGCACTGTGACTGTGGTTTTTATAAAGGCCTATTTGAGCTGGATTACTTTTACTAGCCTTGTAAAAAATTCAAGTCAGGTGAATTTAAAGTATTAAACGGCTGGAGGCAACCACAACGACTGTTTAATTTTGTTTTTAATAAGCTCAGTTTAAACTGTTTACCCAACTGTAAATCAGTACTTAAATGTTAGTTAGGAGGACTTGATTATGAGACTTAAGTTAGGCAATCTCAATTTGAGTTAACTCAAAAAGCAGTGCAGCCAGTTGCCTTATAATTTTAACTTTAAAGTTGACCTGGCTTTAGATTGTTTATAGTGTTAGAGGTAGTATAATTTACACGATTACTGATAGGAGCCATGATTTTAAGTCTGGCAGAATTTATTCTAAAGTGAATAACCTGCTATAACTGGATGAACTTGGTGCTCTTTCACAATAAAATAGTTTAAACTGACCTTGTGATAATGTAATAATAAAAAAGGTAATGGACAATCTCTTTTTAGTGCTGGAAGACGAGACATGTACTGGGAGCATGACTTGAAACAATTTCTTTATCCTCAATTTAGGTCAACTGTAAGGTATCTTGACAAGTGAGATGTCTTAAATCTAGTCAGTATATGTGGTCTTTCTCACTATGAGGTTGTACGAATATTAACATTATTTACCTGTTTTCTTAATGTTTTTACTTCTTTAAGTACATTTACATTTTGTAAATACATTTTGTATTTTCACATAATTTTGCTTGTTTTAAGAAATAATTCTTGAAACAAACAAAATTGTCTGCCAGTAGAACATGATGTAAAACAAGTAAAATGTCTTGAAGCAAGTTAAGTAATCTTATTTGTTTCTTAAAACAATCTCAAAATGAGAAACATTAGATAAAGTTGTATGCGAAAGCTTGAACACCCTGGTCAAATCAAATGTTTTGCTTACTTTTTCAGTGAAAGTAAGTTAACACATCCTCTATAAGGAGCGAACTGAAATATAGCATTTTCTTCCACAATTTAAATTTATATTATGAGGTTAACATATTAGGAAAAAAAGCAAACAATAAATATAAAATGTGCCATAACTTTTGCACAAGCAGTATTTTAATATGGATTTAGTAGATTATTTAGCAAATAAACTGTAATTATGCATTAAAATATACAGAAGTGTGTATACAAAAGTAGATTTGATGATTTTACTTGCCAAGATCTATTTTTTGTTTTTTTTTAATAAGTATTCTATTCCTATACTCTGCTGTGCTTGCAGTCCATCGTGTTGTTCCTCAGCGTCATATGTCATGCAGCATTGATGTGCACATCCAGGCTATAATGTTTCACTCTAGGCTATCTGTGGTAATTTGGGGAATCTGCACATATTCACGTACGAATGAGCCACTCAGATCCCTTGCAATTTACATTAAAGGAACTTTCCCCTGGTGCAAATAATCCAGCTCAAATAGTGCTTAGGGCAGCTTTTATGAGATGTATGAGCGTGCACGATTGCCTTTATTTATGGTTTGCGTAGGCCACGCATGATTTTAAAACCACACCGCATTGTGCTTTTTGTGTCTCAGGGAGGATGTTTGGCTCATGTTCCTCGCACAGTCCCAGCCACCAGTGTCAGTCTGTAAAGGCTGCTGATCCTGCACAGCTCCTCCTCTCCTCACTGCACAGCCCACCTGAGGGAGACCAGGTTGTTCCATCCTTCCAGAAACTTTCGGTTTATGAACAAGCGCCCCCATATTCTCCGAGGAGAATCTCCAAGCCTTTGCCTCCTCTGCCAGACATGGGGGACCTATCTTCTGATGAAGCAGTGGACAGTGAAGTGGAGTTCTTCTCCAGCAACAGCGAGAGCCAGCTGCTGGTGTCTGATCGCACCTCTAAACCTTTACCCTTCCGATATGGCGTTCCGGGTAGGCGGAGTTTCCGTGGCTGCGGCCAGATCAACTATGCCTATTGCGATCGTCTGCAGGAGCAGGAGAAAGCAAGCGTCCAGAAGTCTGAGCAGGCCGTCCATCGAGAAAGGGACAACTTGAAGCAACCGGAAAGGCCCCAGCGGAAGCTGCGCCGGACTCATTCAGGTCCTGCTGGATCCTTTAAGCCTCCTAACCTCCGTCTGGCCGGCCTCCAGCACCCGTCCCACAGCAATCCACAGGAGAAACCTGAGGTTCCTCCGCGGATCCCCATCCCATCTCGTCCCAGAAAGAGCGTCGATGAACATGACATGGACCAACCTCCTGAAATCCCACCAAGGCAGCCCCTCTTCTACACCATTCCTCGAGCTCCTAGTCCCAAGAGCCTCCCCATTTATGTCAATGGAGTGATGCCCCCTACTCAGAGCTTTGCCCCCAACCCTAAGTATGTGAGTAAAGCCCAGCACAGGCAGACCTGTGAGGGTTTGCCAGCACCTCGTAATCCATGTATTCTGCCCATCATGGAGGATGGAAAGAAGGCTAGCACTACCCATTACTTCCTTCTCCCCCAGCGACCAGGCTATCTGGACAAGTTTGAAAGGTTCTTTAAAGAGTCAGGCTCTGAAGCTGTACGCAGTGGATGTTAAATGCAGCCAGTGATGTTTGAATAATTAGAAATCCTCAATTTACTTTTAAGACTTTGGGTCTGGTTTCTGGGACAAGGATTAAGCCTAGTCATGGACTAAATTACAGTGCCAGTGGTGAATCACCACTGTAACAAAATAGCTTTAGTCTAGGTCTAGGATTAATCTGGGTCTGTAAACCTCTCCTTTATAGTCTGACTGATACTATACTGACAGTATTCAGGTGCTTAGTTTTATTAATCCCTATACAATGCCACCTCAACACGAACCCAGAGTACTAAAAAAGTGGCAGGTCATAATTGCTGGACATTGTGGAGCCATTTTATTTTCTTTGTTTGGTTTATCGACCAGTGTCATCATAATTTAAATGCTATTTTATTTTCCTTCCTTTAGTATTACTCAGTGTAGAGGTTTCCTTTCTGAAGGATTTAACCTGTTATATCTTTTTGTAATGGTTTACATGTAACACTGGTTGGTATAAGCTGGTCTTATACTGTACTTCATGTTCTTATTCCTGAGCTGAATGTTGTAGGAGTGTCATTGTGTAGCCCTTACATTGTGTCATAGCTACAGTTGTTCGTGTTGCTAATGTAGTATTTGCACTCACCAGCTAGTAGATACATAGATTTGATATGAATTATTTATATTCACATGAAAAATGTCGGTTGTATACCTTTTATTCAAATAGGGATCATAGGTTATGAGAAAAACTGCTCTAGGAAAAGTCAAATATTTATATATATATATAATAATAATTCTTTGTCTGTAGCTCAAGCAGTGGGGTTTAAACTCCTGCCCGAGCCACAGCCTGTTCGACCTGAATGAGAAAAGTTCAGCAGCAATGTTCTTTATTACTCTGACACAACCTGTACTTTAACACGTACATGTCATGTATTTACCCACCCATTTACTCACTCTTGGTATTTGCTTAATTAACTGGCTTTATCATTCTCCAATGATTAAGCTGGTCATGTGCCACTACGTATGTTTACATGATGTATTGGAATCTGTTTGTCTCTTCCGTCTTTGTTGTAACAGAAGCTGCAACTGTATTTATCCATAGCTTATTTGTTCACATATGAAGGCTCATGATCATTAACTGTTTTTGCTGTGGTTGCACTGCAATGCACTGTCTTTAGAAATGTACAGTATTTGAGTATTTTTTCACACTACATCCATGATCTATTTAAAGAAATAAAGTGACTTATTTATCAGTAAAACAAGGTCCAGTTATTTGTAATTCAACCTGCAATATGCAGTACCGTGCAAAAGTCTTAGGCACCCCAGCGCAGTATTTAATAAGTAGTATTTCTTTAAAAATACCATGTACTGTTACAAGAAATGCAAATTAACATAAATACTGTAACTTCTAAAATAGTTTGAAGTACAAAGTTGAGTTCCAGACTTCTCTTCGAAGCCCCCAGTAATTGCATGGATTTCTTAAACTCCATCAGATGATTTAACATAACGAAGTAACAATAGAAGCACCCTTTTTGGTGCTATAAGCCAATATATAGAACCATATACAACACATTCTTCATACGAAAGGTTGGTAAATAAGGCCCAATCTTCTTAAATGTGCCTTTTTTCCTAACTCCATACTCCATTTCACCAATGCAAAGAACCATGTAAGCACAAATGGATCTATATAGAACTCATACTTTTAAATAGAACCATTGCCTTTGCTAAGGAACCCTTTAAGAACCATCTTTTTTAAGAAGCTGTAAAAAAAAGGAAGCTGTAAAAAAAATTTTGGATCCTTGTTTTTGTTGCTATAAAGTGGACAGAGACTTGTTATTCTGTCGTCCCTCAATGCTAAGTTCATGAAGTAGTTCTCACACTCTTATCAGTTGTATCAGGATGTGTTTAGAGGTCACATACGCTGTTATGGATGCTGCATGGCGTTATCTCTCTGTTGTTTGCTCTGAGCAGTCATAATGAACAGATTGTTAAACTCCTGGATCTGTTGCCTGAGTCACTTCCTCTGACTGCCAGCACACCAATGTGACAAATGTCTCAAAGATGTGGTGTCTTTCGCATAAGCTGCTCTCAATGAAGTCCCTTCAATCCAAAACATATGTTTATCCACTGGCCAGCTGAGAGCTCTTGCGGCCTCCTGTTCCATCTTTAGCCGTGTGTGTTCACTGTGAGAAAAAGAACACTCTACTCTTCTCTGAGAAATGCCTTCATAAGTTTAACTCAGAAGCATTAAAGTAATAACATGATAACAACAGCTATAAAGTTATAACAGTCATTCTCCCATTAAAGCACTTTGAAGGTGCTGCTGGTAATGACCCAGTCTGGATTTATCTGAAATAGTTTACTCAGCCTGCTGTCAGGTTTGATTCAGTAGAAGAGGGCAGTAAGTTACTTTAAGTTTTGTTGGATTTGTATTTTAACGAGAGTTTTTCTGTAAATAGTCAATACATTTGTAAGTCCTTCACATTTAGTACCTAATTCCTGCTATAGGGTTTGATTTTAATCTGTCCTGTTGGTTCAGCACCTGGACTGCTTTGCTTTTGCCCACACCTGACCCTAACCTTATATCAAGAGGGTCCCATAAACAGAAGAGTCCTAACAAGCTAACTAGGGCCCGCATTTGCAAAAGGGTCTTAAGAAATCTTCTTAAAAGTGCCTTTTTTCCCTCAACTTCACACTTAAGAAAGAAGTTGTTATTCTTCAAAATTTGTCTTAAGAATTTTTTTCATTTCTTAACTCTTAAGTAGGTTATTGTGAGAACGTGGTGTTTTTGAAAAAAATATTTTCTTTAATATTTTCATATCTGCACAAATGGACAGAGTAAACTTCTTAAATTGTTCCAACGAGAGTCACAACGTGTAATTTTTAAATTAAACTAAAAAAAATGTTATAAAAAAATAAATTAAAAATCCGGGAACCTGTAAAACGTAACAAGGTATTGCTGGTCTACATGACGACGAAGTTATATGACAACGCTACTTATCAGCCTACACGAAAACAATTACAATTTTTTAAAGAAAATATGACTTTCATAAGAGATTATTTGAGAAATTCCTAAATTTTATACGAGAACTGTATTTAAGACCATTCTTACGAACGTTTCAGTGTCTGTTTGATAATCATTCGTACGTTTTTCTCAGGAAAGCTTTCGTGAATCCGGGCCTAGCTTTCCATGCTAATGCTGGACTTAACTATGAAGGTCCACAGCAGCTCATTAGCGTCCTGTCATAATTTCAGGAGTTTTCAAACCTGCTTTTTACTCTTCCTCAAGTTATTTTCATTTCACTTGAGTATTTCACTTAAGTGGATATAGTTTAAGCTCTTGTTGTCTGTGGTTATGAAGGGAGAAGTGACGAACATCCTGGGTTATTTTTGAAGGGGAACACTGCCCCCTAGTGTCTAAAGGCTGCATGTGGTAAGTGGACAGTTGTTAAAAGGGAATCTTTATAAATGTTTGCATTGTTCAGTTTTTAAGTGTGAAACGCGCCATTCTGGAAAAACTTACCATCTGTTACAGTGATAGGAACCAGACGTCCGAAGCATTTAAGACCTCTAAAACCTCCCGAAACGCTATTAGACTACATGGTTACAAATACGTTGACGCCTGAGACGTGTTTTACGGTAGTAAAGTCGTATCAAGGTAGTATCAAGACTAAAAGTAGACAAAATAATACCCAGAGCTGTGTTTCCTGGATTTGGTATCTTACTGTTTTACCATTAAATTGCATACTGAGCACTGAGCACTTTATTAGCCAAGTACACCTTGTTTCTACACTCACCGTATAGGTGCACTTTGTAGTTCTGCAATTGCAGACTGTAGTCCATCTGTTTCTCTGCATACTTTGACATTCCACCTTTACCTCATTCATCAATGATAAGACCCCCACAGGACCACCACAGAGCAGGTATTATCTGGGTGGTGGATCATTCTGAGCACTGCAGATACACTCCCTGCTGAAAAAAACTATAGAAACCATTAGGTGTTTTGTGGGTTGATATCACAGTGTAAAGGATCCTAATGGTTTAACAGGGTTTTAATACTGGTTTCTAATGGTCCTTTTTCAGCTGAGATGGTGTGGTGGTGTGTTAGTGTGTGCTGTGCTGGTCCGAGTGGATCAGACACAGCGGTGCTGCTGGGGTGTTTAAACACCTCAGTGTCACTGCTGGACTGAGAATAGTCCATCAACCAAAAATATCCGGCCAACAGCGTCCTGTGACCACTGAAGAAGGCCTAGAGGATGACTAACACAAACTGTGCACCAACAGATGAGCTGTTGTCTCTGACTTTATATCTACAAGGTGGACCAACAAGGTAGGAGTGTCTAATAGAGTGGACACAGTGTTTAAACTCCAGCAGCACTGCTGTGTCTGATCCACATGCCCCCACCACATCAGTGTCACTGCAGTGCTGAGAATGATCCACCACCCAAGTAATACATGCAATGTGGTTGTCCTGTGGGGGTCCTGACCACTGAAGAACAGGGTAAAAGGGGGCTAACAAAGAGTGCAGAGAAACAGATGGACTAATTGTAGAACTACAAAGTGCACCTATATGGTTAGTGGAGCTAAGAAAATAGGCAATAAACATGCAAAGTAGGTGTATCTAATACAGTACTCAGTGGATTGTTAATATAATTGCAATAATTGCATTATAGATGTCGCAACAATTTGAGCTGGTACATTTCTCTAGATTGACCACTGAAGCTCAGATCACTGAATAACTTTTCTAACATCTCAAAAATCGAATTATGTAGAAAAATTGATTTGTCCTTTTATGATGGTCACTTTTGCAAGCACTTTTGTCTAGCATGGCTACATTTCTCCATACTTAATGTTCATAATTAAATGATGGCATCTGAGTGGAACTTCTTTAAGGATGTTTTTCTTTTCTTTATCTTATTTTTTTTGGCATCTCCTCCATCTCTGCCCAGCAGGTGGCAGCAGAGGATTAAATGATTTGTGTGGAGCTGGGGGGAAGATTCAGGACTGGATTGGTTGATTGGAAATCTGTGAGGTGATGTTTAGATGAACATCAAGACCGAATTGTGTCTAATTCTCAATAAGTATAAATGATTTCCTTGAGTCATGGCCTTCATTAATGTGTCACAGCCATTCCAATCCATCCCACTAGCAATGTTTCATTATGTACCAGGCAAAGTGCTACTGCAGGTGCTAATTAGTAACAATCATATCTCAGACTGTCCTCACATATATCACTCTATATTAATTCTAAGAAGAAGGAGCCTTTTTGATGTCAGTTAGTTATGTGTGTAGCTATTCCAGTGTTTTCTGACCATTTATATTGTACAATACTTTTGAGTTTAGATTCAGTTTAAGTCATATTTCATCAGGAACAGTAAACAGTTCTCATCGCAGACGCAAAACCATGTTCAAGTCTAGGATCAGTTTTGCAATGTGGTTATGACCACACAAACTAGTCTAGGATCAGACTGTGGCATAAAAACACAACCAGAAAGTTTTCATTCAACAATAAAGCTGTAGTTTCTTCTCTTGACTTAACACTTGCATTAGAGATCAGCAGTATCCATATAAGAACATGTTTACAAGGTTTGGGTGTGGGCTGCTGACAAAATAACAGATAAAATATCAGCAACCTTAAATATTATCCCAAGCTAACTAACCTGAACAGAAAAGCCAAAATGAAAGTACATAATGGTCCCTGTATTCCCTGAGCAGGCCATGAACATGAGCAAAAGGGGGCTTGCAAGAGAAATAGCCACCCACCCCTACTGTGGATACAACAGAGCAAGTCAGCTTGCAGGACTACTTAGACAGACATGTAAACAGTGTTCTGCTCTGCTATGGCTCAGTATGGATCAGTAACAGTAAAGTGATGCAACAGAATAAGTTGACAGGGGCTTATAAACCAGTGTGTGTGGTTTAATTCCTCTCCTATACAGATTTAAAAACATTAACCATTTATTCCCATCCCATCAGATTTCTCACAGTCAGTTAGAATAAAAGCCCATGTGTTATTGTTTAATGACACACACACTCACCAAGCACGTTATTAGAAGCACATTATGACCTGGGCTTCGGTCAGGCTGTAACATAAAATGGGAGTGGGCTCTCTCTCAAACACCAGACGCTATTTAAACCTGCTTAAAAACAGAAAAGGTAACCAACTCATCCAGTGTCACAAAGTTAATAAAGAGAAGTGGAACCCAATACGGTCTTGTGCTGTTGTAGCCCATTAGCCCATGATTTTGTGCACTGTGCTGCT